AGTAGATCTATCTTATGATTAATTAGAGCTAAGACGCAAGCGTTCTACGTTGCCTGTATAGATCGAGGGTTAAAACTGATACTTAAACCTAAAACTTACTTGGTGTAAACGTACACCAAGCAATATCTGTTTCCATAGAACGATTACATAGATTGTTACAAAAATTATACAATAATAAATCGTAGGTTATAGCGTATGTATATCTAGTTTACAATTATTTGCGATATTCCACGCCGTGCCACAACAGCAAATATTTTCAAAAAGAATATTTGATGGTCTAAACTGGACTAGACTATGTTAGTGTACTTCTTAGCTTCCTATTGTTTTCCAAAGATGAATTAACTGTTATAAAAACTGTCAACACGACCTATCGATTAGGTGGCGATTAATCAGGTTGCAACTGTTCGATTAAGATCGCAAACTTTGGATGTGTTTTAGACAACATATCGTATGAAGATGGGAATCTGTTTTTGTCCAATCACGGTCATCCAATTGATGGTCGAAGGTGCGTAGTGTAACGTCTCGTTGGCGTCACCGCCCTCGGTCTATTGACGAGCTTCATCGGTTATTTAAGGTTTATGGCACATGGTTTCCTGTTGAGAAGATCCGTCGAGTGCTTAGGATGCCAATTCGGACCCGGTGCGGTCCGAGTAGTAGACCTTACAATAGATAGCTTGGGAAATTCCAACTTCCCAAAGCTACTAACACTTTATTTATAATCCTTGTCTTGCAAAGAAAAATTCGAATCGTTATACCAAACTCTAATATTCTATCTTCATACATACCAATATCTTTTGAAATATTGGAAAATTATAAACTGTAAGACGACTGAACCTAATTTGCCTTAAAAATGGAAAAATCGCGGTGCTTTCGGAACCAACGAGTTCACGATCTTTCGAAACAGTTAATGGACGGAAAGTCACACGAAGCCACCGATCGATGATTTCACGGTAACCTCAAGGATTGAGCATATAGGCCTGTAAACTGAAACACTCTAACCGAACAAGTAGGATTTCTGGCCCCGAGGGTCCATTGACCAGGATTAGAAAGGCATGTCCCTATTGAACTACTGGGTCAACTTATAGTAGAAATCTACTGAATAGGATTATGAAGGACATCAAAATACAGCCCCTAACCCTGTCCGTATACAATACCAGGCAGGGCTGCAGATCTTCGATTGGACTCCATAGACACCCTAGTAATTATCGTATATTAATATTATATTAGTTCTCTAATATTTACATTACTATTTTAGGATATTAATCTCGCTCGAGTCCCGTTATATATCGTAAATTAATTTTATTTATATATATAATATCTATCCTACATTATAATAGATTTTGTTTGGTGAGTTTAATGCATAATTGGGGGGGAAGAAATTGGACAGATTTATATTTAGTTCACAAGTAATTGTTATTTATATTATCCGTAGTAGAAGATATAAAACTATTTGATAGTGAATAAGTAGCGACTATTATAATTAACACCTAATTAATACTTAATACCTAATTTATTAAAGAGAATAGGTTACAGTATGTATGATTCAATTGTTAAGAACATTTGACACCATTATATTTGATTCTCAAATAATTTTATTAATAATCATGTTTTCGAAATCAGACAATAGTAGCTAATATAATATGATATCTATATCTAAAATGTTTTCATATACTCAGCTCTGATTTATTTTCTAATATAAGATTATGTTAAAGTATTGCTTTACTTCGATTATTAATATAATTACTTACATTGTTGTTTTTAAATATCGCCTGTAATTTGTATTTAACACATGGTAGAATTTCGAATCTGTCGTTTATTCGAATCTGTCGTGCAAAAACTTATGTCCTTACTATGTGTTTACGACTTCTTGTTCATATAATAAATTTTTCCTTCAGATAAATGAATTCAATAGCCAAATGTTTATTTAATCGAGCGCTGATTAAAATTTTGCTTGAATAAACAGAGGGCATTCAAACTTATGTTCAAACGGACTCATAGTTACAATCACCGCGACACGACGTTAAAGATTGTTGAGGGCGCCAAGAACATTTCGATCTCTTCGAGGTCGGTATTTCAGAATGTGAAATCCACATTCGTGTCAGGTCTATTCTGTATGTAGCCAATGATGGTATCTCAGATGAGGTACAGAACTGCGATGGTTAGATACAAAGAAGCGATAATTCTAAAACTTTAGCTTTTCGGTTACGTACCGCATGTTGATAAGGGAATCTTGCAAGTCAGATAACGCATTAAATACATGTAATCATTGAATAGTATCGTCTGTAGTCAATGTTATTATAGACGAGGTCGTCCATAGTGCTATTATCACAGATGGTCTGTATTACTATACCGGTATCGGTACGGTCATTTCAATGTTACCGACTGAGACGTAAATAAAAGTACAACGTATATTATAATTTCTAAAACAATTGTCACACAATATTATATCTTAATATCGTCATCTAAGAATACTAATCACAATTTACTATATTAGGATATAGAAAGTAAATAACTTGTATTTATCAAGCTAGTAGTGGAAATGTCTTCTCAGTCGAATAACAGATGGCAGTAATGTTATCATTTGAATATTTTTTTACCTCGCAATTATAAAAACATTCAAATATAGAATTATTAGATTATTCAAACAAATCTCCTACTTTATACAGAAAGCACATAAACGAGGACCAGAACATGTAAACAAACAAATTCAAATCATTGTTTCATCAAGATTTTAAGTGTTAATTATTCATTCATTTCAAAAATACTGAAGTAGCGCGATCGTTCGGCAGAAGAAACAACGTCCAAAGAAACAAATAGGACCAATATTATTGTTACGTAAACACTTAGAGGTCACACTGATCAACTCCAGTTGTGATTAATTTCTTACTTTCATTGAAAGTAGACAACTAATTGAACACCCATAAAACAAATGATCTACATCCATAAATTCATTTACCGCAAAAAGATGACATCAATTTTAAACATAGTATTTGTAACATCATCGTTTTTCCGTATTTTTCTCTCTCGAGAGAACTTTCGATTCCCGACATCCTTGCCTCTGCAATTAATCCCTAGATACATATAAAATCAACGAAGGCATGCTCGTCTACATTTCTCGGCAAACAGGTAACCGCACAGACACGGCGGTAGCAACAAAAAGGGTTAGAATTAAAAAAAAGAGAGAGAGAAAAGAAAGAAATACCGATTCGGTAGACTCGAAGCAGTCATGGACTCTATCCGTATATGCGGAGGCTGACGACGAGGAAGGATCACCCCCGACCGTGATTCGCTCGTCTGAAAACCTTGCTCTTTTACGCAATTTTAGCGTTTATTAAAGTTTGCTCGCAAATGAAACGAAGCCCATATAACCTACCTAATTTAGCGAGTAGCATTTTCGAGTGGGGGCCACTCCAGGAGAGGAGGAGAGGCTGGGTTCTATTGACAGCGGTTATTGCCTAACTGCGTGCCTCCACCTAATATGCCCGCTCGGGGATTCGCATGCAGGGCCGCTCGAACGAAAACTGCGAAACACGCCTGTGAATCTTTAATTCCGCCGGTGGTAATCCAGCATCCCTCTCTTCTCTGACTGCACTCCCACCCCTTTCACCTCACAGTCAGCCGGCCTATTCGGGCTTGATTTTTCCCTGGGTTCGCCAGAGACGAACTGTGTATCGTATGGGAATTCTTTATCGTCCGTTTGCAAACGAACCTCCGGCATCGTGCTGACTTTTCATTTATACGATCGTCGATACCTGCATTACACATTGATTTCACCCTTTTCTTTTTTAATCTTTTTTTGTGTTTTTTTTTCACGTTCATGCGTGCATCCGTGAGCGTTTTTTCTTTTCTCTAATCTACTCTCTTGTTTTTTTCACCTATGCATTTTGATTTTAATGACGACGTTGTTTTGTTTCAAAGTACCCGATTTTTTTTTGTTCGTTTTTCTATCTACCTTCCATATTTTTTTCCTCTCCTCGTCATCGTATAAATTTTTGATGGAATATCCAGTTGAAGTGCGCGCGCCACGAGAGGTTCATTTAGTTATCAGTTATGAAAAAGTATTATTTTTTTTCGTATCATTTTTACTCCCGTCTTTTTTCACTCGTTGTTTTTCGAACACGCACAAAATAACTCGATCCTTTATTTTCGCGATCGAGTGTCATCATAGCGTATCATGATGCTAGGAACGTATCGTTCAATCGTCAACGAGAGAAAAAAGAGAGAAATGCTGCAAAATGATACTTCAAACGATTACCGTATGTATATTTTTTCCCTCCTTTAATCATTAAATACTTTTTTCTTTTTTTCTTCATTAGATCTTAGATCTTTGTCGACTGATTCTGCTTATAAAATATCGAATTCATCGATTTTCATGGTAAAGAAATGCGCAACGATCGACGTTCGAGCATTTTTTCCTTTTTCTAATCCTGGCGTGCACGATCGGGAACGGATGCGGGAGCAAATGACGGCCCTGCCTGCATTTGAAACTCTGTTAACTCTCCGAATATTAGCTCGTCGAGCGAGATTAACCCCATTGTACCCCGCTGAAAATGATGACATCACCATTAAACTCCCGTCGGCTTACGGAAATTGATTAAACTATCAAATTAGCTCTACTAATATCAACACATCAACACGGAACGCAGCGCAGTGTGTCTGGCTACGGAGGTTTAAGCCCTGACGACGGCGACGAATGACGTGAATTTACGTGTCCAACGATCGGTTCGACGTTCGCATTCATCGGTCTGATTATATTTCCTAAGAGGTCCGCAATCACGAGTCTGCTGCATGCATGTTGGATTTCGAAGGAACGAGCTTAATACCAATAACATCGTCGAGGGGTGCGCACGATCGTGGGATTCAGGAGTCGAATGATTATAATGGGAAATACATTTAGGACGATTAGAACGGCGAGTCGAGTCACTTTTGGATGTAAATGATTTATAAATACGTGTGATTTTACAACTTTTACAACATATCAGGTCTATAAGTATGAAACCGGAATTTGCCTACAAATGGCCCTAGCTGATAATGTAGTTATTACTAAACTGCGTCATTGGTACCAAAAGTCTTTGTTGACATCTTACAAACATTTTCGATTCAGAACAATACAAGTTTCATACAACAGCATAGTTTGTAATAGCGTTGAACATGTCAAATTTTGTGCCTGGAAATTACGATTTGCGGACAGCATTGATTTTCTGTTACCATTTGAAGAAAACTGCTGCAGAATCGCATCGAATGCTTGTCGAAGCTTTACGGTGAGCATGCTCTTGGTAAATCGCAGTGCTTTGAGTGGTTTAAAAAATTCAGAAGTGGCAATTTTGACGCGAGGAACGAAGAACGCGGAAGACTACCGAAAAAGTTTCGAGACAGCGAATTGCAAGCATCGTTGGATGAGGATGACGCTCAAACGCAACAACAACTCGCTGATCGATTAAACGTGACACGAGAAGCCGTCTCCATACGCTTGAAAGCCATGGGAAAGATCCAGAAGGTGGGAAAATGGGTTCCACATGAACCGAATGAAAGGCAGCAGGAAAACCGAAAAACCACTTGCGAAATGCTGCTCGCCAGATACAAAAGAAAGTCGTTTCTCCACCGAATTGTGTCTGGCGATGAAAAGTGGATATATTTTGAGAATGCTAAGCGTAAAAGATCATGGGTAGCTCCAGGCGAACCACCGACATCGACCACAAGTCCAAATCGCTAAGGACGGAAGACAATGCTCTGTGTTTTGTGGGATCAGAAGGGTGTGATCTACTATGAGCTGTTAAAACCTGGCGAAACCGTTAATACTGAGCGCTACCGACAACAAACGATCGATTTGAATCAGGCTTTGCGTGAAAAACGACCAGAATATCAAAAAAGGCAGGACAAAGTAATTTTGCTTCGTGATAATGCACCGTTACATCCAGCAAAACCGGTCAAGGAAACGATCGAAGCGTTCAGTTGGGAAATACTTTCGCACGCGGCTTACTTACCAGACTTGGCTCCGTCCGATTACTATTTATTTGCATCGATGGGACACGCATTTTCTGACCAGCACTTCGCTTCTTACGAAAATGTACGTAAATGGCTCGATGACTGGTTTGCCTCAAAAGAGCGACAGTTTTTTGGCGTGGCATCCACCAATTGCCAGACAGGTGGGAAAAATGTATAGCTAGCGATGGGCAATACTTCGAATAAAATATTTTTAATCATTTTCATA